ACCTAAGAAGCCTCTTAGAGGCTTCTACGACGCCTCTGGAAACAAAAAGGACGCTTCTAAGAAGCCTCTAAGGCTTCCGGAGGCCTTTCGGAAAAAAACATCTTATTGGCTTCAAGGAAACCTCTAAGAAGCCTCTGAGGAGCCCCTCAGGGACTTCTTAAAAAGCTCCTTGCAAGCCCCGAAGATTTTTGATTTATCCGGGCAAAGGACCCAACCATACGCCAGTGTGAGAACCGCAGGGGTGCGCCAAAATGGGGCGGGGCCGCCATGCGAACCCTGCTACTGGGGCCCTCGGTGGAGCTCCTTTATGGGGCCACGAACAGCGTGAGGGGTGCGCCAAAATGGCGCGGGGCCGCCATGCGAACCCTGCCACTGGGGCCTTCGGTGGAGCTCCCTGAGGGGCCACGAACCCGGGTGAGGGTTGCGCCAAAATGGCGCGGGGCCGCCATGCGAACCCTGCCACTGGGGCCTTCGGCCGAGCTCCCTATGGGGCCACGAACCGTGTGACGGGTGCGCCAAAATGGCGCGGGGCCGCCATGCGAACCCTGCCACTGGGGCCTTTGGTGGAGCTCCCTATGGGGCCACGAACCGTGTGAGGGGTGCGCCAGAATGGGGCTGTGGTGTCATGCGAACCCTGCCATTGTGTCCTCCGGCGGAGCTCCCTATGGGGCCACGAACTGTGCGAGGGCTGCGCCAAAATGGGGCGGTGCCGCCATGCGAACCCTGCCTCTGGGGCCTTCGGTGGAGCTCCCTGTGCGGGCCACGAACAGCGTGAGGGGTGCGCCAAAATGGCGCGGGGCCGCCATGCGAACCCTGCCACTGGGGCCTTCGGTGGAGCTCCCTAAGGGGCCACGAACCGTGCAAGGGGTGCGCCAACATGGGGCTGGGCCGCCATGCGAACCCTGCCACTGGGGCCTTTAGGTGGAGCTCCCCATAGGGCCACGAAGCGTTGCGTTGCACTGGGTGGATGAAACGCAATGCAGGAAGGATGAGGGGGAGGGGAGGCAGCGGGAGAAGAAGGAATGAAGGACAGAGGACGCGGGCGCTGTGTCTTCAAAACGAGGACCCAACACCACAGGATGGTTGGGAGCAACAACCGCTGGCAAGGACAACAACCGCTGACAAGAACCGTGTGAGGCGTGCGCCAGAATGGGGCGGTGGTGCCATGTGAACCCTGCCACTGGGGCCTTCGGTGGAGCTCCCTATGGGGCCACGAATCGTTGGAGGCGTGCGCCAGAATGGGGCTGTGGTGCCATGCGAACCCTGCCACTGGGGCCTTCGGTCCGTCGATGGAGCTCCCTATGGGGCCACGAACCGTGTGAGGCGTGCGCCAGAATGGGCGCGGTGTTGCCATGCGAACCCTGCCACTGGGGCCTTCGGTGGAGCTCCCCGCGGGGCCGCCAAACACGTGAGCGGTGTGCCGAAACAGAGACATGCGGAAAACAGAGGCAACGAGGGGGAGGAGGGAGGCGGAGAAGGGGAAGGAGGAGGAGGAGGAGGAGGAGGAGGAGGTCGAGGAGGAGGAGGAGGAGGAGGAGGAGAGGAAGGAGGAAGGAGGAGACGCGCCGCACCGTCTCTTCAAAACGAGGACCCAACACCACAGGATGGTTGGGAAAAACTTATTGGGGGCCTCTTAGAAGTTTTTAACAAGCTTGTTTGAAGCCTCTACGAGGCCCTTTAGAAGCTTCGCAGAGGCGTTGTAGGAGCCTCTTAAAAGCCTCGTAGAGGCTTCTTAGAGGCCTCTACGAGGCTTTTTTGAGTCTTCTTCGTAGAGGCCTCTCAGAAGCGTCTTAGACGCCTCGAAGAGGATTTGTTCAGAAGCCTCGCAGAACCTCGTAGGGGCCTCTTAGAAACCTCGTAGAGGCTTCTAAGACGCCTCTAAAAAGCTTCTTAGAGGCTTTTGAGACGCCTTTAAAAAGCCTCGTAGAAGCTTCTAAGAGGCCTCTTAGAAGCTCCTTGGAGGTCTCTTAGAAGCGTGTAAGACGCCTGAACGATGCCTCTCTGCGACTAATCAGATTTCGTTTTTTCTGGAAAAAGTGACCGGGGAATAAACCAGTGTGACTGGGAAGGATTCCATTCCACCGGTGCGTATGCCATCAAACCGGTGTTTACAATTCGACGGTATCTTCGGGGGGGGCAGTGGGGGGAGGGGTGGGGGCTTCGAGCAAGGGCGCTGGAAGGGAGGGAGGGTTTCGGGAGGGAGGAGGAGGAGGAGGAGGAGGAGGAGGAGGAGGAAGAAGAGAGACGAGGAAAGGAGGAATGGAACGGAGGAAACGAAGGAAAAGGAAGAAGGGGGAGGAGGAGGAGGTGGACGAGCGAGCGGGGGAGGGAGGGGAAGCAGGAGGAGGAGGAGGAGGAAAAGAAGGAGGAGGAGGAGAAGGAGGAGGAGGAGGAGGAGGAGGAAGGGACAGTGCAACAAGGTGCCCGCTCAAAACAGTCTCCCAAGCCGCTCGGTGGCTGTTTTGGGCGCGCTCGGACGAAGACGGGGCGAGCGAGGAGGAGGAGTAGGGGGAGGAGGAGGTGGAGGAGGAGGAGGAGAATCAAGGGGGAGTGCAAACGAAAATCGTCACCCGAGGCGCTTGGTGACTGTTTGGGGCGGGACTGGAAAAAGAGAGGCCCGAGGAGGAGGAGGAGGAGGAGGTGGAGGAGGAGGAGGACATGAGGAGGACAGGAGGAGGAGGAGGAGGAAGAAGAGGAGGAGGAGGAGGAGGAGGAGAAGAAGCAGCTGCGGGAGGGCACCTTGTGGGTGAAATTACGATGGGCCGTAGCCTTGAGAGCGCGTGAGCTGCACTTACGCTCCTTAGTTCGACGTCGATCCGCGTTCCCGCTCGGATTCAAACTCCTCGGTGGGAAACTTGTAGAGAGGGCACCCCACCTGTGCGGTTTCGATGGATCGTAGCCCTGGCAGCGCGGCAACTGCACTAACTTACTTATCATTCGAGTGATTGTACCTCACGCGAGTTCCAAACGCCTTCCAGGGCTTTGTCTGCTCGCCCGCGAGGGTCTTGCACGTCTGTGACGCCTCTGACACATCGCGCCGACGACTCTGGATCAACTCGGCCAGGTCCAAACCCTGGGCGCTCCTGAGACGCCTTAGATTGGCTTCGATTTTGACGCACATCCCCGAGAGACTTCAAACCTGCCCCCAATAGGAGGGGGGCGAGCGAACCGTGTGCCGGGGCCAAACTATGAGAGGGCTGCAAAGGGTCGGACACGAAGGCGCGGTCTCGCTGCCGCCGCCCCGGCCGCCGTGATTGTAGGTTTTCGGCACAGTCTCCGCCGTCTCTCCGAGAGCCATTCCAGAAAGATGTCGTGGACGGAGTCCACGGGTCAGCCCCAGTGTCTGCTACATTGCAGGCATGCGCGCGTGCGAGAGGGGCGGGGGTCGGGGCGCGGGGTTCAGGCGCCACGGCGGCCCCTGCGGGCTCCTGCGAGCACCAGCAGGCCCTCGCGCGCTTCCAAGAGGCCCAAGAGCGCTCCGAGACGACCCCGGGGGCCCAAAGAGCAGCCCAAGATGGTCTAAGAGGGCCTCCGAGACGGTCCAAGCGCGCTCGCAGACGCCCAAGATAGCCCCCAGACGGCCCAAGAGGCTCCCAAAACGCTCCAAGTGGGTTCCAAGAAGAGTTCCGAGAGAGCCCGCGCACATTTGCGCAATCCTTTGCTTTTCGTTTTCAAAGCGTCCAGGAGGACAATTCACGCCCCCAAGATCGCCCCAGGTCGCCGCAGGAGCGCCCCATGAGGGCCCCTAAGACGGCCCCAGGACGGTCCAAAACGGCCCCAGGACCGCTCTTGAGGTGCCCACGACGGCCCAAGAGTCACCCAAGGCAGCCCCAAGAGCGGCCCAAGACTGCCCAAGACGGGCCCAAAACGGCCCCAAGCTGGCCCTAGAGGCTTCCAAGACGGCCGCAGACGGCCCCAAGACGGTCCAAGGGGCACCCAAAACGGCCCAAGAGGGCCCCAAGAGGCCCCCAGGAGGCCGCAAGACAGTCCAAGGGCCCAGGGGGGCCCCAAAAGGCCCCCAGAAGGAGCTGAAGAGAAACCCCGAGAGGCCCCCAAACGGTTCCCAAGGGGAAGGAAGCGCCCGCCATCAATGGACGCTTAGGGCCTTTAGGGAGCGTTGCCCTCCTCCGTGGGTGCGGGCGCGAGCGAAAGAGCGCCGAATAATGAACAGCAACATGGGCGCCACTTTCCCCTACTATTGCCTCCCAGCTCCAGGGCGCGCGCTTCGCCGCTGCCGCCCAAGTGAGGCGAGATACACTAGAGGCCTGCAGGGAGCGCATTCCCTAACACTGTCTGATCCCAGAGGGGCGCGGAGACGGCGCCCAAAAGCACGTGGCTCCCTGCGCGTCCACAGGGAGCCCCCATGCGCAGTCCACCGTGCGACATTCCGAGCGCCCTGGGCACGAAGCAGACAGCAGCAGCGGCGGCACACAGCAGCAGCGAGCAGCGGCAGGCAGCGGGTAGAAGCACGCACCAAGTGGAACTGGCCATCAGCAACGACCTGCAGCCACAAGCAGCAAGAGCACGCAGCAGTAGCCTCAAGCACTACCAACAGTACGCAAAAGCGGTAGCAAGCAGCAGCACGCAGTAGCATGCGCGGAATGCGAGGTCGGGCCTCACAATCAGATGCCAGTTCGTGCAGATCTCGTGAGCGGAGTCCACGGGTCAGTCCTACCGACGTCGCCAGCCTCCTTCCGGTGCCCACAACCCACGGCGATGATGACGACGACCACCACCATCACGACAACGACGCCGACTACGACGGGTACGACGGCGGCCTCGCGGCGGCGACGACAACGACGCCGACGATGACAGCGACGACGGCGGCCCCGCGACGGCCAAGATGGTGGAGCGCTGCTAGAGCTCGGACACGAAGGCGCGGTCTCGCTGCCGCCGCCCCGGCCGCCGCCGTGCTGATAGGTTTTCGGCAAAATCTCTGTCGTTCCTCCGAGAACCATTCCAGAAGAATGTCGTGGACGGAGCCCACGGGTCAGCCCTAGTCCATACGACAGTACCCGGCATTGCGCGTGCGAGAAGGGCAAGCGATGGTCACCCGCGGCGGCGCCCCGGGGGCCCCGCCCGTGGGGTGACGCCGTCTCGGCCCGGGGCAGCCCCGGGACGGCACATGAGCGCCCCGACGCGGAGGCCTCAAAAGTCTCCCAGAAGCTCCCCAGCGAGCCCGAGAGGGCCCCAGGACGGGCTCGGAGGGCCCCCGCGAGCTTCCATGGAGCTCCCAGGGGACCCCCACGAGGGCCCCAAGGCCGCAAAATTATCGATATGTTTGAAGGTTTTTGGCGTTTCCGGTGGTGCTCCTCCCGCCCGCCCCAAGACGCCCACCACGGCACCGCGGGTGTCCGAAATCTGGCCCCGCGGCCCCAAGGGACGCCCAAGAGGGTCCAGTTCGGAGCGCTTCCCCGCCCTCTGGGCCCCTCCACGGCCAGAAAGGCTCCAAGACGCCTCCGAGAGGCCCCCAGAAGGCCCCGAGAGGCGCTCCCAGAGGCCCCCGGGCGCTGTCCAGAGGCTCCCAGAGGGCTTCAGAGGCGCACCCAAGAGCTCTCCAGAGGCTCCTAAGAGGCCCCCGGGCGCTCTCCAGAGGCTCCCAGAAGGCTCCATCCCACGAGCTCTCCAGAGGCTCCCAGAGGCTCTCCAGAAACTCCCACAGAGCCCCCACGAGAACCCCCCCCGGGTACCGGAGGGCCCCCCCGCCGCTTCCCCGATGCCCCCGCTGGGAACAGCCTGCTACAGCACGCGGCACTCCAGGACCTCTCAGGCATAACCGCCCCTTCCCCCCTCCGCCTCCACCCCGAGAGCGTGGCCCCTTCGCGGGTTCCTCGGGACACGTCGGCCCATCCACCCTTGCGCAGCCAGCGTGCCTTGGGCCTTCCTGCTCCGGAGCATCGCCCCTGATGGGAAAAAAATCATACACAAAAGTTACACAACACACACACACACATACACATATACACACACAAACACACCACAACTGTTGGGACACGCATCGCCTGGGAGGGGATGCGACAAAGCCCTGCTTGGACCACCCGCAGACGTCCCAGGCCCCCTTTCCGTGGTCCCCTCCCGCACGGAGCGTGTCCCAGCAGGTGTGGGGGGTACGGTTTTCCCAATGCCAAACGCGCGCTCCCCCTCGCCTTCCTCCTCCCCGCCCCTTGCTCGCGCCCCCCCTGTTCCTGCGGCTGCTGATGCTGCCCCTGCTGCTGCTGCTGCTGCTGCTGCTGCTGCTGCTGCTGCTGCTGCTGCTGCTGCTGCTGCCGTTGCTCTCCCTCCGCCTCGTGCTGCTCCGCCTGCTGGGCCCCGCGGCCCCTCCATCCCTGCCCCCCCCTGCCTCTCTATCACCCGACGACGACAGCGGCGACGACGCCGCCGACAACGACGACGACGACGACGACGACGACGACGAGGACCACGACCACGACCACGACCGCGACCACGACGACGACCACCACCACGACCACGACGACGACGCTGACGACGACGACGACGACGACGACGACGACGACGACGACGACGAGGACGAGGAGGACGAGGACGAGGAGGACGAGGACGAAAGAGGCCCCCGGAGGTCCGCGTTGCTTCTGTTGTTGCTGGGGCTGCTGCTGCAGCTGTTGCTGCTGCTACTGCCGATGGTGCTGGATCTGCTGCTGCTGCTGCTGCTGCTGCTGCTGCTGCTGCTGCTGCTGCTGCTGCTGCTGCTAGCGCTGCTCCAGACGCCGTCAGGATCACCAAACAAACCGCGCACCCTGAGGCAACAAGCAGCAACGAGCGCACGCTCAATCCTCTGGCACTCGTGGATGGTTGTCCACGGGTCATCCCTAGTCTGTACTACAATTCCGGGCGAAGCGCGCGCGAGAAGTACAAGCAGTGGCAGCGCCCCGGGCCGCCCAGAGAGCTCGCGGGCCGCCCGGAGAGCCTCCGGGGCGCTGCCCGACGGGCCTGGGAGGCCCCCGGACCGCTCGCGGACTGATCCAGGATTCCCAGATCGCCCCAAGACGGCCTCAGGAGGCCCCGAAGACGGCCCAAGACGGTCTAAGAGTGTATCCGAGACGCTTACGATGGCTTCAAGACGCCTTCAAGACGGCCCGAGACGCCTCCACGAGGCCCCCAGAGCGCTCGAAGTGCACCTCCAAGAGGGGCCGCAGAAGCCAAAATAGTTGATTTTCATTGTTGTCAATATTTCTGGCCTTCTCGCTTTTTCGGCTGTCCGACGCTCCACGGCCGCCCAAGAGGCCCCCAAGACCGTTCCAAGACGGCCCAATAGGGCTTCAAGACGGCCCCGAGTCGGCCCAAGAGGGCCCCAAGACGGCTCAAGAGTCGCCCAAGACGGCCCAAGAGGGACCCAGGAAGGCCCCAAGAGAGGCCCAAGACAGGGACCCGGAACCGAAAAATCGAGGCCTCCACCCCAAGAGGCCCCCAGGAAGCCCCAAGACGCCCCAACGAAACGCCGGGACGCTCCCAAGACTTCCCCAGGAGGCCCCCGGACGACCCAAAGAGGCTCCAAGAGGCCCCCCAGAGGCCGCCAAGCGCCCCAAAAGGCTCCCAAGAGGCCCCAAAAGAGGACCCAAGAGGCCCCAAGACGCCCCCAAACTGCTACCAAGAAGCCCCCAAACTGTCTCCCAGAGGCTCCCGAGAGGCCAACCACGAGATCCCAACCAACATCCACGAGATCTCTTGCCCATTACCCAGGCCCGCGGTGAGATTGCCCGCAGGCCACTACAGCCGGTTGGGGGGCCCTACGTATCCCAGCATCCGCACCCTTGGCTGTATCGATGCAGGGCCCTGGGGGGCCGAAACCTATGGAAACTCAGATCGTCTTGGGCGGTGTCCAAGGCCTTGGGGTACGTGTGGGGGCCAATCCTCGCGCAGTGGAATGGCCAGAACCTTCGGATTTTCGCTAATCGCGGAGAGGCCGGGCGCGATTAGCGAAAACCCGATGCTTTTTGAGACCTCCACGCCCGGCCTTAATCGGTTACGATCGCCCTCTTGGGTCGGGCGCCTCGTGGGGCGGCTTGGGGCAATCTTGGGTGTGTGCGGCCGTCTCGGACCTCGCGTTGGGCTCCCGTGGGCGGCATCTGCGGCTGTGCTGGGCCCTGCTGGGGGTCACTTGAGGCTTCGGCGACACGTGCGAGTTCGGGACCAACGCCTGGACCTGCGGGCCGTGGATTTTCCACGGGTTCACACTAGTCATTTACAATGCTGGCATCAGCGCGTGCAAGAAGGGCGAGCAGTGGCAGCCCGCGTTGGCGCTGCTCAGCGAGATGCGGGAGGCGAAGGTGGATCCCGACGTCATCTGCACTACTGGTCACTACGCGTGCGAAAGGCGAGAAGTTCGCGAGCTGCCCACGAGCGCCCCAAGCGCCCTGGCGCTCCCTGACGGCTCCAGAGAGCCCATAAGTGGCCCAAAGACTGCCTCTAACAGCCTTAAGACAGCTCTCAGACGCTCCAGAGCGCGCGAGGACGGCCCAAGAGAACACGAAAGGAGCCCCATGACAGCCAAAGACGGCCCGACGACGGGCCAGGTGTCTCCGAAAACGGCCGAAACGGCTCCCGGAGGCCAAAGTTACAGATATAGTTTTTTGCTTCTTGAGGATGATTCATGTTGTTGTTCGTTTTTTTCTAACCAAGATGGGCCCCTCACGGCTCCAGGGCAATCCCAAATCCCCCCAAAACGGTCCAGGAGGCCCCGCCAAGTGCCCCAAGACGGCCCCAGCGGACCCGAAGACTACCCAAGAGAAGCCCACGATTGCCCAAGAGAAGCCCAGGTGCGCCAGGCACCCTTGTGGCCCAAGCGTGCTAGGCGCGTCTGGTGCGCCAGATGCGCCACGTGATCCGCGTGCGCCACGTGCGCCGTATGCTCCAGCCGCGCCATGGGGCAGTACACATCGGGAAATGCGTCGGCCCCCACAACCCTTGTCGAAAGCGAGTGCGCAATCGCGGCGGGGCGGCTATCATAGTGTCTGGTTGTCCTGCGCATAGCAGGCACCATGCCCGCACCCCCGCCGCCCCTGTCAAAAACCAATGCATGATGATCGCGGGGTGCCCGCGCATGATCCAGATGTCGCCTTGACGCGCGTGTTGTATTTCTTTTGACAGGGGTGCTGGCCCTGCGCGCAGCAAGCAATATGCTGGCTTCCCCGCCGACCCCTTCAAGCAAATGCAAAGTGCTCGCGACCCCGTCGATCAAGACCCAAGATTTTCCCAAACATGGATTTTTACATTCCTTTTTGACAGAGGTGGGGGGGTCCTCATTGGTCCTGGTTGGCTGCTGGTCGCCTTGGGGGTGGGCGTGTTTATTAATAGGGAACAGTGATCAACCCCTCCCCGGAAGGGGAAGGTGGGCTGGAAGAAAAAACTCCTTTAACCACTCACGACTTGAAGGACTGGTGAAATTCCGACTGAGCTCCGAACAGGGCCTCCCGCCATTGTGTTCCCCCGGCAGCCTTCAACAAAGTTTCTTATATACCCGCAATGAGGCCCAACGAGCCTCCTCTCCCCTTTCAGCCCTTTCTCTCACTCATCCTCTGTCCTCCTTCTCGTCCTCGTCCTGCTCCCGCTTCTTATCTGCGACTCCCCCCCGGCGGTCTCTGCAGTGATTCGGCTCCCTCGGCCCGCGGCCCGCTGATGCAGCGCGCCGTGGAGCTGTTGGTGGAGGCGGGCGGCGCTGTGTTCTACCAGGCTCTGCGAACCGCGCTCTTCGAGCGGTTTGCGGGCCACCCGCTGCCCTTGGCGGACCAGGAGGCCCCAGCGTTCGGGTCCTCCTGGCCGTCTCAGGCGGCAGGCTCCGGAGCAGCGGCGGAGTGCCCTGCGCTCGAGGCTTCCGCCGCCTGCCCCACCGTCTGCCTTGGGCTGGCGGTGGCCTTGAGCGGCGGGGTCTCTCCCCTACTGCTCGCGACGGTCCTCTCGCTTCTGCGAGTGACCCCTTGCTGCAGTTTCTGCGGGGGCTGCTGTCTCGCGGGCCTGGCGGTCCGCTGTGCGAGCCCTTTCCTGGCTCGCGTTCGCGGTGCGTTGGGATCCCAGCGCCCGCGAGGGCAGCTGCTTGGGCCTTGGCCTACGGCCCAAGTCGTCGAGCCGCCTCGCG